AAAATAGAAGACAGTTTGATGGCTGGATATTAATATTGAAAAGGGAAGAATAACTGTCACTTTTTGAAGATGGGGGTAGAAAATCTAAAGGGAAAATAATGAAAAGTTGTTATAAATAAGAGAATTCAGTAAGGAGGCCGGATGTAAGGACCAACATGCAAAAATGAATAGCCTTCCTTGCCATTAGACTAACCAAGGAGAAAATTTCCCAAGGAAAAATCCCACTCAAAATTGTATAAAAAACAAAGTGTTCAGAAACTTAAGAAAAGTATAAGGCCTATATGAGGAAAAGTACTCTCTGTTACTAATATAAAGAACTTCTTTTAAAAGATATGGTAATATTTTCATAAATTCATGGCAAGAAACTGTTTTTAAAAGTGAAACGAAAAGATAGATATGGCAAAGCACAAATAAAATTTCTGCATTATGAAATGTAACACAAATAAAAGAAAGCCAATAGGAGAGATACGGGTAGCATATGTACCAGGTAAAAGATAACCAGTACATAACAAAGAACTACAGACCTATCAGCAACAACTCAACAGAGAAGTGCGGGGAAGATGAAGAGCAATTTAAAAAAAATAAATTAAACAATAAATGAGATTTTTCTGAACTATAAAATAGTGATATCCACTGATGGAAAGAATATGGAGAAAAAAAGATCTATGAAGTTATAAAATACTTTGGATTTCAATGTGGCATTATCGATTCACAGGTAGATGAATGGAATGAGTTGGCAGAACAAATCCTTCTTCAGTCATCTGAGCTGTAGAATCATGCATTGCCCCAAGTGTATGCACTTTGATTTTCATCCATGAAGGAGTAATTAAATAAATCATAATATAACCTTATCACAAAATGTTGGAGATCAGTTAAAAAGGTTGAGAGAGAACTCTGTAGCCTGGCATTGGGAAAATCTTCTAGGTAGATTAAATCAAATCTATAAATATGATATGATCACATTTAAATAAAAACAGAAATACATATCGTGACAGAAAGGACTAGTTATTTAGCCAGTATCTTTTTTTTCTTCATTACTAATAGAAGTAAAACATAGCTAGCTAAAAGACCATAGACCCCAGCCTCCCTTGCAGCTTGTGGTGGCTATATGTCTAAGTTCTAGTCAATAATATGTAAAAATGAGTTATTAGGACAGTCTCCTTGGGAGGTTCATCAAAAGGGAAGAACTGATGTGCTCTCTTTTTGTCATTGCGTCTTTTCTCCTTCCTTCTGTCTTGAATAAAGACGTGATGGCTGGAACTGTGGCACTCATCAGGGACCAAGAAGGAATAGAAGCCAACACTAAGGATGGCAGAGCAGAAACTTCAGAGGAGTCTGGGTCCCTGATAACTGTGGAGCTGCCATGTTGCCTATATTTAGACCCCGTGTTATAGACAATGTCATACACATGGGAAAGGAGGATGTCAAGGCCAAGGCAGAAGTCCAAGGTCTCAACTTGGTATTATAATCAGGGAGCCAGAATACTAGAAAAAGTGAGGCAGACACATGGTCATCTGATGGAAGACAATGGAGGAGAGTACTGGTAAGTGAAGCACAAATTCAAAGTTTCAGCAAGATACATGCCAGATGACCTTTTGAATATAAATAACTAGGATTTATGTGTGTGTGTGTGTCGGGGGTACTGGGGATTCAAGTCAGAGGTGTTCTAACAATGAGTTACATCCCAACTCCTTATTTTTATTTTTGAGACAGAGTCTCATCAAATTGCCCAGGCTGGACTCAAACTTGCACTCTTCCTGCCTCAGTCTACCAAGTCCCTGGGAGAATTAGGATTCTTGAAGGGATAGGTTGCTTTATCTGGTTAAGAATCAGCAAACATCCATGGCTTGCTCCTTTTCCACCTATGGCAGACATCATTAATCAATCTTGGAACAATTTCCTATCAAACTGTACAAGGTTTATAGTTCTCCCCAATAGAGTACTTTGGGTAGCCACTACCCATCAATTTCCAATTAGCATAATAGATGAGATTATTTGACTCCCTAGTTATTTACAATTTTTCCCTGTGGATGTCACCTGCGGGAGCTCATGGCTTCCCAGGATAAAAGGCTTCTCTCTGCAGGAGAGCATCATGGAGCACAGCAACCTCAGAGCTCTCCTTGGTGCTGAAAATCGGTCCCTGCCACTTTCCACCCAGCTGCCATTGTTCACATGGACCAAATTTCCCATAATTACCAGAGAGATACACCTTGTAGATAAACAGAACCCAGACTCTCCTAAGGGATGAGAAAAGATAGGTTTGGGATGTGAGGAATTCTGAAAGAGATGTGTTAGTATTTGTTATGAGGTTGGCTTTAGCAAGACAAGAGCCTAGACGATGTAGGAGCTGGTTTCAGAGAAGCTGTGGGTGAGCAACAGAACATTCTGCAAATCATGAGTGAACCTGAGAGGGAAACCCAAGGTTATCAGCCTATAGCACATCTTTAGGTTTGGGACAGTGTGAAGACAGAGTAGGTCACAGAGACAGAAAAAAATCAATCAAATTTGGGTACTAATCACATGGTTCTGTAAATTGAATATTTGTGTCCCTCCCATTCATATGTTGAGATTCTAACCCCAAATGTGATTGTATTAGAAAGTGGATGGAACCTTTGGTATATGATTAGATCTTGAGAGTAGAGCCCTCGTGAATGGAATTAGTTTTTCGTTGCTGTCATAAAATACCTGAGAAATTCAACTGAGAGGAGGAGAGATCACAGTTTGAATCACAATTTCAGAGGTTTTGGTCCATGGTTGGCTGGATCCATTGCTCAGGCCCTGAGGAGAGACCCATCTCATAGTGGAAAGGTGTGGCAGAGGAAAGCCGCTCATCTCATGACAGCCAGCCAACAGAGAGGGAAAGATCAAGGAAGACACCAGCAATCTATGTCCTCTGACACATGAGCCTTTGGGGACATTTCAAATCCAAACTATAAAAGGGCCCTTATAAAACAGACCCTGGAGGGCCCCTTCCCCCTTCTACCATGTAAGGAAACAGCAAGATGCAGGCCCCGGACCAGGAAGTGGGTCCTCACTCAAGGCTCAACCTGCTGGTGCCTTGATCTTGAACTTCCCAGCTCTGGAACTGTGAGAAACAAATTTCTGTTGGTTAAGCCACAGAGTCTTCAGGATTCTGTTAGGGTCCCCCAAACAGATAAAGACACATGGGCAGACTTTTGTTGGTTAAATTCTAGGGGACAGATTTTTGCTGGTTCATGGATATTTATTTCTTTATAGATACTTTTTTAAAATATATTTTTAGTTGTGAATGGACCTTTATTTATTTATATGCAATGCTGAGATTTGAACCCAGTGCCTCACACATGCTAGGCAAGCGCTGTAGCACTGAGCTACAGCCCCAGCCCCATAGGTACTTTTTAATAGCATATTTTTTTGTTATTTTAAATGTAGCTTATGGTCATTGTGGGAACACGGGGGCAAACAAATGTAGAAATGAGAGAGAGGGTTGAGCCCAGGTTCCAAACACCATCACTGATGCTGTGGGGGCGTATGTATTTCAGTCTTGTTTCCTTGAATATTGGCATAATTGAGATGATGCTGTTGGGGCTCAGAAAATGACACCCCCAAAGTGCTTTGACATATAAGTGCTTTGAACTGAAGGATATGAGGAGGGCTCAGAAGGAGCCTCAGGGGAGAGAAAAAAATTCTCTCTGACCCCCCTTAGTCCTCCTGTCTCCTGTCCCTCTTCCTTGCCCAAAATGAGTCACAGAAACCAGGATTCCTCTTCCCCAAGGTGGGTCACTGAAAATAGGACCCCTGTCCCCCAGAGCATGTTTTAAAAACTGTGCCTTCTCCCCTCTACCTAAAATCTCTCATTCCACAGGGCTCCTGCCCCATTCCCAGGAGGAAGGAATGCTCCAGAGAGGTCAAGAAGAATCTGCACAGAGGCGCCTTGGACTTTCCCGACCATCTGTAGAATCAGAGCCGCCCCGAGTGCGCTCACGCTGCCCTGCGGTTGTTCATTCTCAGACCTGCACGTGGAAACGGTTTCCCCAGGGTCTCTGAGCCTTCGTTTCTGAAGATCCCCATATCACATAAAACTTCCATCAAATAAATTGATGATACTTTTCTCTCGTTAACTTGTCTGGCGTCCTGGGACTGTTGGTCCGTGACTCTTATCATGATTGAGTGAAGAATCATAACTTTCTGTTATGATTCATGCTGATTTTCTTTTTTACTTAACATGATATTATTAGCATTTCCTAAGGTTAAAAATTATATATAAGAATGATTTGTGGGCTGGGGATGTGGCTCAAGCGGTAACGAGCTCACCTGGCATGCACGGGGCGCTGGGTTCGATCCTCAGCACCACATACAAACAAAGATGTTGTGTCCGCCGAAAACTAAAAAATAAATATTAAAAAATTCTCTCTCTCTCTCTCTTAAAAAAAAAGAGAATGATTTGTACTGGTTGCATGGTATAGCATTGAGTCTGGATGGACTCTAATCTATTAATCATTCTCTCGTTTTTTTGTTGTTGTTTTGTTTTTCTTTGATTCTTTATTTTTTAATGAAGATCACAGCCCTGGTATGTATTTGAACACACTTGTGTCAATATTTCTGCCTATTTTCTTAAGCTCCAAGAAATGGAATTATGGATTTAAAGGATCTAAACCTTTAAAGCTCCTGATACATGTTGTCCAGTCAATTTTTTTGGTACAGGAGATTGAACTCAGGGACACCCGACCACTGAGCCACATCCCCAGCCCTATTTTGTATTTTATTTAGAGACAGGGTCTCACTGAGTTGCTTAGCGCCTCACTTTTGCTGAGGCTGGCTTTGAACTCATGATCCCCCTGTCTCAGCCTCCCTAGCTGCTGGGATTGCAGGCGTGAGCCATGGCAGCCAGCATCGTCCAGTCACCTTTGAGAAAACTTGTGCCCATGTAACCTTTCCAGGCTCTTCATTCCAGGCTGATGCTATCAGGTAAGTCTAGGCTAACCTTTGTATCAGAAAAAGACAAGTGAACCCAAGATGAACAAGATGGACACTTATTTCTTTATAATTAAACAATCCGAAGGTAAGAAGTACCAGGTAGAGGAGGCAGCGCTCCTAGAAGACATTCTGGGGCTGGAGTTCTTGTCGCTTCTTCCGCCATTTCCTGTGGGATCGTCTCTAACCCTATGGTCAAAGGGCCTCCATGCCCTCATCTGGTTTCTTTCTGTAAGAAGGAGCAGGAAAAGGGGAGAAAGGACAGACAGTTTTGTTTGGGTGAATGAACTGAAGGCAGCCTCTCCTGCTCTGCTCTGCTCTGTGCTGTGCCTTGGGAGCTGAGCTCTGCAGCTTGCTTGCCCTGGGGCTTCTGGTTTAGCTCAGCCATTGGCTAAGAGGCCAGAGGGTGGAGGAAGAGATCCCTGTCCACTTCTCTGACTCTCTCTTTGCTGGGGATCGCCTGAGTCCCTTTATGGAAGGCGGCATCCCCTGTCTGACAACCCGCTCCACGTGGCTTTCTTGGGCTTGCACTTGCTCCCTTCTCTGGCCCCCTAGGGGTGCTGCGTCATCGCTGGCTGCCTCTCCTTGACCCTGCTGGCCGTGTCTCCTGACACCAACCCCTCAGAATTTGGCTAGACTACAGGTTAAGAGCAAGGTCTTCCCCAAGACTGCCCTCGCTTCGGACGCTAGCTTCAGCACACCGGCACCTCTGTCCAGATGGCTACAAATATGGGGATTTCCACTACTTCCTCAGATTTTCATTATTCTAGAACAACTCATAGAATCCAGGATAGGATAGCATTATATATATATGGTTCACAAGAAGCTACAATAAAAATCAAAGAAGGAGATGTGTCAGGGCAAGGTCTGGGAGGGTCTCAAACACTAACATCCCATCACATCAGAGTGTGACAACATGCATAGTAATGCCACTTAGGGAAGTTCACCTAAGTTTCAGTGTCCCATTTTTGATGGGGTTTCATTACATGGGCAAAATTGATTAGAGGATTGGCCGCGTGGTTGAACTCAAACTTCAGCCCTAAAGGTAGGGCTCATATCATGTGTCTCAAAGTCCCAATTCTCTAACTGCATGGTTGGACTTTCTGGTAGGGTCAGGCTCTGTCCTTAGTCATCTTAGTAACAAAACTGTCTAGAGGTCATGAGTCACCTCCTTTGCATGACAATCTTACGAGGTCTAAGGGGCCCATCGGAACAACAAAGATTCTCCTATCACCCAGCAAATCCCCAGGATTTGAAGATTCCCTCCCAGAACAAAGGCCAGGCCATTCTTCATTCCACGCTGCCCAGACCTTTCTAGACTGTCCCTTTATTTATTTATTTATTTTTTTAAATTTTTAAATTTTTTATTGTGGGTTGTTCAAAACATTACAAATTTCTTGACATATCATATTCCACACTTTGATTCAAGTGGGTTATGAACTCCCACCTTCACCCCATACACAGATTGCAGAATCACATCAGTTACACATCCATTGATTTACATATTGCCATACTAGTGTCTGTTGTGCTCCGCTGCCTTTCCCATCCTCCACCCTCCCCCCTCCCCACCTCTCCCCTCCCCTCCCCTCCTCTCTCTCTACCCCCTCCACTGTATAACCCTGAGGGTCTCCTTCCATTACCATGCAATTTCCCTTCTCTCTCCCTTTCCCTCCCACCTCTCATCCCTGTTAAATGTTAATCTTCTTCTCCTGCTCTTCTTCCCTACTCTGTTCTTAGTTACTCTCCTTATATCAAAGAAGACATTTGGCATTTGTTTTTTAGGGGTTGGCTAGCTTCACTTAGCATAATCTGCTCTAATGCCATCCATTTCCCTGTAAATTCTATGATTTTGTCATTTTTTAATGCAGAGTACTACTCCATTGTGTATAAATGCCACATTTTTTTATCCATTCGTCTATTGAAGGGCATCTAGGTTGGTTCCACAGTCTTGCTATTGTGAACTGTGCTGCTATGAACATCGATGTAGCAGTGTCCCTGTAGCATGCTCTTTTTAGGCCTTTAGGGAATAGACCAAGAAGGGGAATAGCTGGGTCAAATGGTGGCTCCACTCCCAGCTTTCCAAGAAATCTCCATACTGCTTTCCAAATTGGCTGCACCAATCTGCAGTCCCACCAGCAATGTACAAGTGTACCCTTTTCCCCACATCCTCCCCAGCACTTGTTGTTGTTTGACTTCCTAATGGCTGCCAATCTTACTGGAGTGAGATGGTATCTTAGGGTGGTTTTGATTTGCATTTCTCTGACAGCTAGAGATGTTGAGCATTTTTTCATGTACTTGTTGATTGACTGTATGTCCTCCTCTGAGAAGTGTCTGTTCAGGTCCTTGGCCCATTTGTTGATTGGGTTGTTTGTTCTCTTATTGTCTAATTTTTTGAGTTCTTTGTATACTCTGGATATTAGGGCTCTATCTGAAGTGTGAGGAGTAAAGATTTGTTCCCAGGGTGTAGGCTCCCTATTTACCTCTCTTATTGTTTCTTTTGCTGAGAAAAAACTTTTTAGTTTGAGTAAGTCCCATTTGTTGATTCTAGTTATTAACTTTTGTGCTATGGGTGTCCTATTGAGGAATTTGGAGCCCGACCCCACCGACTGTAGATCGTAGCCAACTTTTTCTTCTATCAGATGGCGCGTCTCTGATTTGATATCAAGCTCCTTGATCCATTTTGAATTCACTTTTGTGCATGGCGAGAGAAAGGGATTCAGTTTCATTTTGTTGCATATGGATTTCCAGTTTTCCCAGCACCATTTGTTGAAGATGCTATCCTTCCTCCATTGCATGCTTTTAGCCCCTTTATCAAATATAAGATAGTTGTAGTTTTGTGGAAAAAGCATTCGACAAAGTACAGCATCCCTTTATGTTCAAAACTCTAGAAAAACTAGGGATAACAGGAACATACCTCAATATTGTAAAAGCAATCTATGCTAAGCCTCAGGCTAGCATCATTCTGAATGGAGAAAAACTGAAGGCATTCCCTCTAAAATCTGGAACAAGACAGGGATGCCCTCTCTCTCCACTTCTCTTCAACATAGTTCTCGAAACACTGGCCAGAGCAATTAGACAGACGAAAGAAATTAAAGGCATCAAAATAGGAAAAGAAGAACTTAAATTATCACTATTTGCAGATGATATGATTCTATACCTAGCAGACCCAAAAGGCTCTACAAAGAAACTATTAGAGCTAATAAATGAATTCAGCAAAGTGGCAGGATATAAAATCAACACGCATAAATCAAAGGCATTCCTGTATATCAGCGACAAATCCTCTGAAATGGAAATGAGGACAACCACTCCATTCAAAATATCTTCAAAAAAAATAAAATACTTGGGAATCAACCTAACAAAAGAGGTGAAAGACTTATACAATGAAAACTACAGAACCCTAAAGAGAGAAATAGAAGAAGATCTTAGAAGATGGAAAAATATACCCTGTTCATGGATAGGCAGAACTAACATCATCAAAATGGCGATATTACCAAAAGTTCTCTATAGGTTTAATGCAATGCCAATCAAAATCCCAACGGCATTTCTTGTGGAAATAGAGAAAGCAATCATGAAATTCATATGGAAAAATAAAAGACCCAGAATAGCAAAAACAATGCTAAGCAAGAAGTGTGAATCAGGCGGTATAGCGATACCAGACTTCAAACTATACTACAGAGCAATAGTAACAAAAACAGCATGGTACTGGTACCAAAACAGGAGGGTGGACCAATGGTACAGAATAGAGGACACAGAAACCAATCCACAAAACTACAACTGTCCCTTTATTTAGTCCCTTCAACTTTCCTAATTTGAGGGTGCTACCTCCTTCCTGCTGTGACCGCAATTAGCACAAGTGGAACTAAAACCAAACACATCACTTCTGACACTTTCTGTAAATGAATTGAATCCTACTGCCACGCCCACTGCAAGGAACCTGGGCAATAGTGATTACCCAGTGTCTATGTGCCTCCCCAAACCTACAACTGTGGTAGAAAGAAAGATTGTATTTGAGGAATAAATAAGTTTTCTGCTTTGCTAGAGACTAACGTTTTTTAATCTTCGCTAGCTTGGTAGGTGAGCGATGGTGTTTGGTCATTTTGCTCTACACTTAGGTGTTTGGCTAACTAGGAAGCGTTGACCTCCTTCCATTCCATATTGGCCATTGGTCTTCATTTAACTATGAAAATTTTTTTCAGGTTTTTGTCCATTTTTCATTCACTTTCTAGAGTGATTTTGAGAAAATGATCTCTTTTTAGGATTAAAGATAACAACTCTTTTCTGTCAAAGCTACTTAAAAAAAGAAGTTTAAAAATGAATTGGACAAAAAAGTAAACATAAAATTCATTTTTAAAAAGACCAGCTTTGCTGGGGTCCTACTGAAGTCCCCTCTCCCCTGGCCACTTCCTCCAGGTGGATTTATAGGCGACATTCCTTTGTCTCCGTCCTCTGGGTTCAGGCTCCTGCCTGGTGATTTTATGTGCCATCATCGGGAACAGGTGAATTAAACATCCTGCTGTTCTCACATCCATGACAGGCCCTCTTTTCCAAGTTCAAATTCCCTGTTCCAGGGAGCAGGAGATGGGCACCTGATTCATAGCCTGTTTCTCAGGAAGGGAGGTTATCACGACTGTGGAGGTCCAGCAAGCAATGACCCCTTTGTGATAGCTCTGCCATCTGCCCACTTCTGGAGAGTTCTGGTGAACCAGTTGCCAAGCTGTGACTTCCCAGAATACGACCCTCCGTGTCTGAGTTTGCCTCCCCCCATCAGAACCTAAGACAGGGACTAAGGGCCCGGGAGTTTATCACTAGGTCATACCAGGAAACTGAGCACAGGAGGAACGAGATGGAGAAGGAGTGAAAGCCAAAACATGGTGTTATTGACCTGGCAGATGGGGTGCATCTTGCTGGGGACTCCTTCAGGAACTGTGTAGAACTGTAAGGAACTTGAAACTGTCTCTAACGAAAGGAGACAGAGAGACGTTTGTTACCGGCTCCCTCCTGCACATCCCGTTGGTTGAAAGTTGACCACAGCAGGACTGTTATTACCTCTCCTGGATGTTGCAGCTGCCTTGAAAAACCCCAATCGCCACCCCAACCGCAGGTGGGTCAAGCGGATGTGATGAGTGCCACAAATAGACTGGCGACACTGCCTTGTCTCCGTATGTAAATACTTCAAGCACATTCTAAGAAGAGCACACTGTTGTACATTGGGCCAAAGTACCCTGGAGCCTCAGAAGTCAGGGCGGTTGGGGGGGGGGGAGACGAGGAGCTGGTCTGCTCGTCTTGGGAAGGGGTCTCTAGATGGCGTAATGCCCATCAAACTCTGATCTGGGAAGGACAAGGAGCCTGGAACAACTTGACCATTTGTACGTTCGCCTGCAGCTAAGCCGAGTCCCCTGCTACAGGTCTGGAGGGCTGGGCAGTCCGACCTGCAGTGTGACCCCTGTGTTCCCAGCCCAGGGGTGTTGAGGGTGGGGAAGGAGGCAGTTCCATAAGAACAAGATGTGCCCAAGTGCACAAAGGTTCAGATAAGGCGTCTTGGCTTCGGGGTGTTTATTACAGCAATTTGAAAAGCTAAACTGGGCAGTTGAAAATCACAGTGCAAGCGATCACAGTGACTCCAGTTCATGGGAATTACAGAAGACAGGGGACACAGAAACCTGGGTGAGCAAGGCCTAGACGGGGAGAGGCTACAGGTCAAACAGCCAGCTCTTCTGCCCAGTGTGACAATGCCATCAGTGGTAAAGACAACTGCACCTGGAGCCCAGGTGCTTCCTCCCAGGCTTGCAGTCTGAGCACGAAGAGGCCTTTGGGATTAGATGATTCAGGTTCCACTCCCACAGGCCACCTGCAGGCTATGACCTTAAAAAATCCATCTGTTGGGAGGCCGAGGCAGGAGGATCACTAGTTCAAAGCCAACCTCAGCAACAGTGAGGTTGAGACCCTGTCTCTAAATAAAATACAAAATAGGGCTGGGGATGTGGCTCAGTGGTCAAGTGCCCCTGAGTTCAATCCCTGTACCCAAAAACAAACCAAAAGAAATCCACCTGGTCTCTGAGTCTCAGTTTCTTCATTGGCACAGTGGGGTTGTAGAGGAGGGGAGAGGAGGTCAAATGCTCACATGCTCAGCCAAGGTTAGCGGTCAGCCCACTGCAGCCTGCCCTTCCTGCCCCCTTCCCTCCCACCATACCCAACACGCAGGGTGCTCTTTCTTAAATGCCAACTTGATCCTTTAACTATTCCTGACTAAAACCTTCCACATGCCACATGTGGTTTCTTTGTCCCCTGTTAAACTATAAGCTCTTTGAAGCAGACCATATGCAAATGAGTCACATCCAAATTAAGCTTGGAAATCCTGAGTGGCCCTATGCCCAGGTCCCAAGTCCTCCTCGACTTCCTGTCTCCTTAGCGGGGGCAGAGAAGCACATGCCCCAAGAGGAAGGGTCAGCAGTGCCCCTCACTGGAGACTCCTTTTGGAGGCATCCACCTGGCTCAAAATGACCACTTCTCTCAGAACACCCAGATGTAGGCCCTCTACCCTGGACACAGCCGACTGGACCATGGGCAGTGGCCCAGATGGTCATGTGTCAGCACAGAATCACCTTCAAAAGACAATCATGAATCAGTAATTCTAAAAGAATTTCGGTCTTACCCTGAATTTCAAGAACATTAAAAGGTCAGAACTCAGAATGGCACTTCCCCAGCTCCTCTTTGTCCCCGAAGCCCTCACTCCTGCCTCCACCCAAGGACCCCCTTCTGCAGCTGTTTTCCTCATCGCCTTAGCCCCTCCCTGTCGCCCTTCCTTCCTCTCGGCTCCCACCTGTCTGTGCCACCCTTAATTCATCGCTTCTGGAGACCTGGGGACCAGGCTGGCAAATGGTGGGGCAGGGGGAAGAACTGTGCATGACACTGGCACGTGAATAAATACCCTGCCCGACACGTACACAGGGGACCCGGTACATCAGCTCCCAGCACTTTCTTCTGACACACGTCTCACGCATGATTTGCATATCATTACCATATTTATCCTCGGGTCTTGCAGCAAGCCGCAGACACCCACAGGAGCGCGCACACGAGCCCACACACCTGCGCACACGTGTCCACACGAATGTAGAGTCTCCAGCAACACACGCTGCGGGCCTGCTGGGAAGGCTTCATTAAAGACGGGAGAAAGGGGCCTGAGCCCACTGCTCCTTCCCCTGGGCGGCCCTCCACAGCCACCAACCTCCCTCCGGGACCCTTAGTATCACGGCCACCCCTGTCCCTCGCCCCCTCCCGCGCACTCACCCTTCCTGAACTGAGCTCTGCCACCAGGCTCTGCTGGGACCTTGTTATTTTTACAGCTTCAGGGAGCAAACTCTTGGAGAGAAGGGAAGCTTTGCAGGAGGCTGGCCCTGATGCCCTGAGCCACTGCCAGCCCAGCTCCTCAGGGACAAAGTCCCTGCTCCACTGGGATGGTGACACTGGTCAGCCACAACCAGCCCTGGGGTCTGCCAGAGGCACTGTCCCTGGCAGGCTGGTTCTGTGCTGCCGTCTGGGCTCTGCGTGGGGAAGGGTTCCCAAACCAGCAGCCAGAGGAAGGTGACTGCATCAGTGGGGAAGCAAGTGGGTCCCGGGATTCTCCCTGTCTAATTCCCCCTTTAGGGCAGGGAGCTCCAGAGCTCCATCTATTTGTGCAGATCAGAGGACTTGCCCCCCAGGGGCCTCCACAGGAGTCTGGGGGCAGAGGGAGAGGCTGGTTCTGTGGATCTTTGCAGGAGGAAAGGGGAGAGAGAGGCAGAGGGAGACTTGGGGGGGGGCAAAAGGACATAAGTAGAATGTGTCTTTTCATGCGTAGAGTCTCCTGTTGGATGCAAGGCCAGGGCAGGTCACCCCCCAGAGCCCCTTCCATCTTGAGATCTTGTTCCCACCCTGTGACACACCTGCCCATACATCTGGCTGCAGAGACCCAGTGTGACATCAGACATCCCTCCTTTCTCCTCCCCCATCCCCTCGCCGCCTCTCATGCCCACAACCAGCTTCCCGAGCCCCTAGGCCTCTGTCAGAAGCTATGGACAAGAATGGGCACTTCTGAGTCCTTGGCCATGCAAGGAGCCTCCCCAGGAAAGTCAGGGGCGCCTCTCCGGGCACAGGGCCAGGGAGCGTCCTCCAGGGCTCCCCAACAGACCATCCCCTCCCTGCGGCTGAGCAGGAATGTTGTAGATTTCGGTGCAAATAACTCATTATTTCGCTTTCCAACCAGAAAGCCCCACATGTGGAGTTAATTCCCCATCCTGACAGAGGGCAAGTGCGAGCCAAAACTGGGAGGTTCACTCAATACCCCCGGGCACCACTGTTTCCATCACAGGGTTAATTAGTCCCCAAGAGCTTTGAGCCAAGGGAGGTGGCCTTAGCTGGGGAGTCCAGAATTTGAATCAGCATCTGCCCACGACCGTAGGAGCTTCGCAAAAAGGGCTCTTCCCATCACTGGGCCTCAGTTTTCTCATCTGCAAAATGAGCAGGTGAGTTCATGTGAGCCCCAGGGACTTTTCCTGGCAGCTCAGAGTTTCGGTGGCATTCTGTGATGCTGACATTCGGTAACAGCCTACCCCCGTCTAGGATGACGTTCCAAGTAATTCCATGACATTTACAGCCATCTACATCATTCTATGATGACACTGGAAGGGGGTCCCTGACATAAGATGACATTTACAACCATCTACAGCATTCTGTGACATCCTTTGACATTTACAAGAATTCACGATGCCCTGTGATATTCTTTGACATTCCAGAGCATTTTACGACATTCCTTGACATTCTACCATGCTCTGTGGCATTCGAGGCACGGTATTCGGTGGCATTCTGTGACATTCTACACTTATACCACGTGGGTTTGTCTTTCTTCCAAGGTGCCTTCCTGGAATGGCTGGAGGAACCATATCCCCACCCAGGGACCCTGTGCCCTGAGTCCCCTCCTGCCAAGGCGCATAACCCCTGCAGTCAGAAGTCCTTGAGCTTGGGCTTCTGGAGACATCCGGCCACCCCAGCGCTGATCTTTGGGGTTGGGAGTTGGAGGAACTCACCAGCAACAGTGATTTCCTCAGGGTATTTTGCGCTGAAGAAACATGTCCCCACCCCCACTGCCACTAAAACATTCAAATTAATGGCTTCTTCCTTCAAGATAAGGGGGTCTCCTTGGTCTAGCGTTACAGTTAAGCACACCAGATATTTGAACATTTTGACCAGTGGGAATGACAATTTCGTGTGGTTCGACTTAATACGACAGAAAGAATGTGGGCTGAGAACCAAACGGTCCGGGGACAAACACCAGTGCTGTGATTTGTTAGCTGTGAAACTGGGACGGCGTCTCCAGGCCACGCTTTCCTCGTCCACAAACACCCAGGAGTTGGTGGAGGACCTACTGAGATAGTGGTGCCCAGGCCCCGGGCAAACGTGAAGGCCTCAGAGGTCTTCCCTCCACTAGAACAACAGAAAAATCGAGTTCTTGAGGGAGATGGCAGGGGCAGAAAATGAGGTTGGTCTTGGCAGGTCTTTGGACTTGACTCCTCCTTGTGGATCCTTGAGAAAATTATTTTGTTCTGTGGGCCTCGGTTTTACCATCCATAAAATGGGTTGGGAAAGAATCCAGTGAACTGGAGGGCCTTTCTGGGGCTTCTCTGGGTTGGGGAGGAGGAGGGTGACAACAGGGAATCTTGATGTTTGGGCAGGCCTGGGACCATCATAGTCTGTAAGGCCAGGATACTGGAAAGTGGGTTGAAATCACCAATGGAAGGCAGGTCAGATCTGATGAAGTGCTTCTTTCTAAATAGTGAGATGATGGACCTGGTTGTAACGCTGCTCCTCCATGGAGTTGAGGAGAACAGCCCCAGGGTTTCTGCCCGCCTGTGCTCTCTCCAGCCCTCCGGGCCCTGCCTGGTAGGAAGCACCCGCGCTGGTGTGGAAATCTTAAGACGCTGCGCCCCCTGGTGGCCAGACTCTGTCATTACATTCCAGGGCTCCCAACCTGGGAAGGTGCTTCTCACCTGCTCACCTGTGGCTGGGCCAGCAGGGACGACAGTGCTGAGACAGCATGGAAAGAAGTTGACTCAAGTTGGGGCAAGCCTGAGAGGATAAAGGCTGAAAAGACCCTCCTTAACCTCTTGAACAAACACTTATTGAGCACCTACTATATGCCAGGCAGTGCGTTGGGCTCTCGGATCCAGTGTTGAACAAGACAGAGCTTTGCTCATCAAGAAGCTCACACAATCCAAGGCTCATGGGCTGGCTGAATACCTACTACATGCCAGGTTTTTAACTCCTGGTACCCATCACAACAACCCTGGGAGGTAAGAATTATCATCTCCATTTTGCAGGTGAGAAAACTGAGGCCACAGTTAGTGGTAAGGGGCAGAGCCTGGAGTAAGAGCTAGATCTGGGTGACTCCAAAGCTGCCCATCACGTGGGGCCTGTGTAGTGCAAAGAGCCGGTGGCTGGGCCTCCTCTGGGAGGTGGAGCTGGGAGGTGCCTGGGTTAGCCAGGTGGGGTGTCTGGAGGCCCCGCCCTGTGCCCAGTGGGATCTCCTTCCAAGGAGGGGGCTGCTCCCTGGGAAGGAGGTGGCCCAGGGTCCCGGCATTGTTCTCATTGTCTTGGCCCTCTCTTTGTCTCCAGAGCATCCGGGGCTTGCTCCTCCCCCAGCGGAGATGAGGGCCAGCTGCCTGGAGAGCCGGCCTGCAGGACTGCTGCCGCTCATTAGAGCCTCGCAGATGCCTCTCCCGGGACTCCCCACCCCAGGGTCTGAGGGAGAGTTTGACACGAATCTAAAAATAGCTGCTGTTTTGTTCCTTTGTTGGAAGGGAGGGGCTGGCAGGGGGCTCGGCTCCCCTTAATGACCTGCCCACAAAGAACAAAGCCTTTTCTCTCGTTTGCTGGGCTTGGGGGGGGGGGGGCAGCAGGTCCAGCCTCCTTAGCCCTCTGAGAAGGAGCCAGACGGGCTCCTGAGGGTGGTTCCTCCTGAATCAAGGTCCGAGGCAGCCCAGGGCCAGGCCTCTGGGCAGGACAAGCTAGGCCCTAGGATGGACAGACAGGCACACGGTGGACACTGAGGTCTGTGAGATGCATAGGAGGAGGTCTGCCCGTGTGACATCGTCTGTGATGTCACATCACATGGCATAGCCAATGGGACGGCAGATGACCGCATGTGGCAGGTCATAGGCAGATGACTCTGAAGGGTTATATGTGACCAAGCCTGGGGACACTGTGTGCAGGTGACTCTATGAATGACTGTATTGGTGACCCTGAGGAAATTGCAGGACCGTATATGTGGTGCTGTGTGGTGGGACTGGGGGTGAACAGGGGACTTCGTGGCTGTGCAGACGACCCCCTGGGTGAATGTCAGCCGCTCCTCAAGAGACTCGCCAGAGGCAGGTGACAGTGTGTGCATGCTGGGTTGCCAGGGGGTGTCAGGACTGACTATGCAGGTGATATTCAGTGTGACTCTGTGACTATATTGGTGACACTGGGAAGAGAGGGTTAACCGTGCAGGTGGCACTGAAACTTCATGCAGGTGGTTAACTGCTGTGGTTTCCTGGCACTTCACTGGCCATGGGACCGCGTGCAGGTGACCATGACCAGTGAAGTGCCAGGAAACCACAGCAGTTTCCAGGCCCTTCAGGACCTGAGGAGGCTCCAGTGGCCTCTCTCAGGTAGCTCTGGTCCCCCTCTTACTTACGGTCTCCTTGCAGTACCTTCCACTCACCTCCTGCTATGCCCTCTCGGGACACCTCTGTCAGTGCGCCCTTGGGGGTCAGGAGTGTTGCCTGCCCCACGCGTGAGGAGCAGGAGCTCTGCGTGGGGCTGAGGCCTGTTCAGGGGCAGGAGACAGTGGGGAGCCAAGGCAGAAGTGGGCAGGGGGCACCCCAGAGGCTATTGGGAAGGTCACACCCATGTCTGTCACCCCAGCGACTCAGGCTGCTGAGGCAGGGGGATCACAAGTTCAAAGCCAGCCTCAGCAACTTAGTGAGGCCCTTTCACAAATCAAAAATATAAAGGGCTGGGGATGTGACTCGGTGGTAAATGCCCCTGGGTTCGATCCCCAGTAGGAAAGAAATTTAGCTCTTTTTTTTTTCTTCTTAGTTTTGTTCTTAAAATGCTGGGGATGAGACCAGGGCTTATGCGTGTTGGGCAAGGCATTTACCTCTGAGCCACATCCCCAGCCCTCGGTCCATTTTTAAAAGGGAGGACACGTATGCTTGCACAACTCAATTCTTTTTTAAAAAAAGAATTGAAGTAAATGTGATCAAACGGTTACTTGTTGTTAATCTAGGTGGTATGATTATGTATGACTCTTATGCCATCCTTTGATTTTTCTGAATTTTTAATCTCAAAATAATGAAACAAAAGCAATACATGTTC